CATCTATTATAGACGGATTAACTTTAAAGGAAATCCCACATAGATCTGCTGTTTTCTTAATATCAATAGTTTTGAAATATTTTACAATATCACCTGATAATATTCTATGAAATGCAAATTCTTTTTTTACAAACATTTACATTTTGTTTGAGTAATGGCTCGGCGACCGCAGGACAGGAATCGAGTGACTTTGTAGTCAAGATCGGAATGTCGGTAAAATATTGTTCAAAAGCCGTTGCAAAGTCTTGATCTGATTTCGTCAAAGTATTGTTAAAATTTAATCGAAATTTTGATTTGTGTAGTTTCATCTTGCCAGTTTCACTATTGATTGAAATTGACCAAGTGATTTTAATTTTATTATAGTCATTCTTTATTTTGTTTCTTAAATATAAAGACTTGGCTGCGCAACACACTCTTTTAAACATTTTGGAATATTTTTTTTACATATTCTATAAATGTGTTTTATTACTATGATTATATAATCTTTCATTGTAAAGGTCATACAACTTTTGTCAACTCCTATGGATTCCTACTGCCGCCCACTAATTAAACGATTTGCGGCTGTTTAAAGAGTGTTTTAGAAGTAAATGTTTTATTAAACTCAAAACTTATTAGTTTAAATAATCATCTATATAAACAGTTCGTATTGTTTTTATATGGAAGAAAAGGCAGCTTTTTTTACTATATTACATCTTAATCTGTGTCATCGAAATGTGCCGTGTAGTGGCGGTCAAGAATATCCACTATGCCTAGCGTATGTGGACTATGAGAAAGCCTTTGATTCCGTCGAAGTTTGGGCGGTGCTGCAGTCCCTTCAGCGGTGCCAAATTGACTGTCGGTATATCGAAGTGCTGAAGTGTTTGTACAGTAGAGCTACGATGGCTATCCGAGTACAGAATCAGAGTACGAAACCTATCCAACTGCAGAGAGGTGTAAGACAGGGTGACGTTATATCCCCGAAACTCTTCACCGCTGCATTGGAAGACGTTTTCAAGCTACTGGACTGGAAAGGATGCGGTATTAACATCAATGGCGAGTACATCACTCACCTTCGATTTGCCGACGATATAGTCCTTATAGCAGAATCGCTGGAGGACCTAAGCACTATGCTCAATGACCTCAATAGTGTTTCCCAACGGTTAGGTCTTAAGATGAACATGGACAAAACAAAGATCATATTTAATGTCTATGTCACACCTATGCCGGTTGTTGTTGGGAGCACTAAGCTCGAAGTTGTTGACGAGTATGTTTACCTGGGACAAATAGTCCGACTAGGTAAGTCCAACTTCGACCGAGAGGTCAATCGACGGATTCATTCATTCATCTTCTCGTCAGACATACCTCAAAACCTTAAAACGAAATTGTACAACCAGTGAGTGTTGCCAGTTATGACTTACGAGTTTGTGACGTAGTCTTTAACTGCTGGCCGTATGAGGAAGCTCAAGGTCGCTCAGCGAGCTATGGAGAGGGCTATGCTCGGAGTTTCTCTGTATAATAAACTTAGGAATGAGGATATCCGCAGTAGAACCAGAGTAACCGACATAGCCCAACGGATTAGTAAGCTGAAGTGGCAGTGGGCCGGCCATATAGCTCGAAGAACCGACAACCGATGGAGAAGAAAGGTTCTTGAGTGGCAGCCTCGTACTGGTAGGCCAAGTGTAGGGCGATCCCCCACGAGATGGAGTGACGAGCAGGTAAGACATGCAGGAAGTCGATGGATGCAGGTGGCTCAGAACCGTGCTTTGTGGCATTCCTTGGCCTATGTTCAGCAGTGGACTTATGAAAGGCTGTAATGATGATGATGATAATGACATCTTAATCTCTCTAAGCGATGTTCATTTATTGGAAAAAGTACAACTTTCTTAACTTTCTGTTTTTATGCATGTAAGGTAACGAGACTAACTGTCCACAGTGCAGTGGTCAGAACTTAAATTTTGAATAATTAATTTATGTAAGGGCTCAACATCAGTAAAAATATTATCTATACAACTTGCACTAGGCCCTCCAATACGTGTTGGCTCAAAGAACAAATTAACAAGGTTGTATGATTTGAGTAATGATTTAAACTTAATATTCATGGAAAAAGTTTCAAGGAGATATTAAAGTCTCCACATACGACGACAGATTTATTCTGTTTATTAAGTTTAAGCAAAACTTTCCCCATTATTTTTCCAAAACAATCATACATATAATGTGGGGGTGTGTGAACAATGAGGTGCTCGAATTGAACACATGCCATTTCTACAGTTTGCTCTACAGAGAAGCTCACAATATCCTTACGTTCTTTACTTATTAATAATTTATTAGCTAATATTAAGGAGCCACCGCGTAATTTTTCTTGTCTGTTAAAGCAGATGACCACCTGGTGTTTACTGAAATTAAACATTACAATACACAATAAAATAAAATCTTTTAACTAATATTCAGTTATACAAAAAATATTTACGTTGTTACTATTTAAAAACAACTCAATTTCTAATTATTTGCCTAACATGCGTTGCATATATTGATGCACCAGGTGTATAAATTTTTTATAGGTTGTAAGACATCATTTTAGGTGGTTATAACCCATCTATAGCGTCCTTTGTTTGAAGTTGGTCTTACCGTTAGAACTACAAATTTGTTTGTCACTTCAGTTTTTTTTTTCACGTTTACTCAGAATTGTAGACAGACTAACGAGAAGTCACTTTCTTGTTTGTCTGTCTGTTGTTCCGGGTTTCCGGTGCTTGCAACTCAAACTTCGAGCACTTTCCGATGAGCTACAGACTTGAAATTTTGAACATCGTTTGACAATGTAGGAATATAAAAAAACGTGATATTTTTTTTTAGTACAAAATTAAAAACAAATCATTTGCTTATAACTTATCTTAGACTAACCAGTATTTGTTTAATAGAGATCTAAACAAAGATTGGTTTTTCATGAATTTACCAAATCACGCGTACGAAATCACGCGCACCGCCAGTTTTATAAGTCTGTGTGCATTTTTAAATCACTGCAGTAACCCGAGAGGGTTTCGTACCGGAATCGATTAGAATGGTGACGCGCCGCAACGAGGCCCTACTAGTGCTCGTAATGCTTTTGTAACGGTGACATCATTCCTGCCTACGTAAAACATTGTTGCCATAATAAGAATTTAATTCGTACCATTAATGCTTTTTTATCTACTATTTAATCTTAATCTCTTATATTATATTTCTATTTAGGGCACTTAAATAGGCAAACTTGTAGTAATATCGGACTGTGTTGCCATCTTCCCTATCGTTTTTTTTAAACTAATAAATTAAATATACACTATTATAAACTTTTAAAAATATATACACTATTGTAAAAGTTTATTATAAATTGATATATGTATACTTTTTAAATTAATAATACTGTCTGATTTTTTATGTTCGATAGAGTAAGAGAAATCGAGTAGAAAAAAATTACAGTTACAATGGGTACCACCATTTTAATTATATAATGATATACGATAATATGTAGCTAAACAGTTAATTTGTCTACCGAATCCTCAATTAAGATTCCATTATTCATCAAGCTATAACATCATTTAACATGTATAACAAGTTTTATTATTATTACACTGGTTTTATAACATGCATTTTAAAACATCTTTATTATACATATTTAAGAACTATAATAATAAAATATGGAAATATCCTTCTAAGGTCCTTATATTTCTAGAACTCCGTCTGGTTTGGTGTCTCCACTCTACCTTAGCTTGCTTTGCCTAGCTACTAGATATTTACAAGCTGTGAGATATTTCATTTTCATCCTCATGGGTAACAACGCATCTATGGCAAATTACGTGAAGTTTGTTGGAGGTGTTTAATAAAGCCTAGCAAATGCTGGCGTTGAGAATAAACTAAACTAATTAACTAGTGAAGTAAATTAACGTGAACACTTGTAACTGATTAATATACATAGTTGAATAAAATTAGTTTTTCGGATTTTATCGCATATATTAACTTATTTTAGGCGTCAGTAGCCTAATGGCAGGGCGCGCACCGCGAACTCGAAAGGTCGTGGGTTCGAATCCGCCATTCGACTACTGTGGCGAACCACTTCTAACAAGCATTTTAAGCTTCCAAGAAGTGGTTAAGTTTATATTAGTAATGGTCATAATTAAGTCTAAGTCAATACTAAGGTCATATTAGTAATGTTTAATAGCATTACTAGTATGTTTTTTTTAATTTTTTTTTAATAGGATCGGGTGACAAACGAGCACACAGTCCACCTGATGGTAAGTGGTTACTGTAACCCATAGACATCTACATCTATCCTCAATAAAGACTCAAGATGCAGATGCGTTGTCACCCGTGAGGACTAAGACGGAATGCCTCTTTGCCAGTAAAAAGGGTCTTCGGTTCTCTACACTCACCATACGAAACACAGCAGCGTTAAGCTGCTATTTTACGCTGGTTTTCTGTGTTTTAATAATAAATAATAAAAATAATAATATTTTATATTCCCGACGTTTCGAGCATTGCAAGCAAGAGCAACAGTTAACCACGGCTACCTCCAGATTAAAATTATTAATCTTTGTTCCGATCTACGCAGTATGAACTTACATGTAAGTTTCCATGTAAGTTCATCATTCATACTGCGGTATCATACTACGCTTTGAACGCGCGTTTTATGCGGTAAAAACTAGTTTTATTTAAATGTGTAGTGTTCGCGTAAATATAAGTTTTCACAGTTTTTAACTTGGCCTAAACATCAAAGGAAGCTAACTCCCTTTTACTTACTTCTGCAGCCAAATAGCGGTGCCTGAACTGCTCTGTTCTGGTATGAAGGGTGCAGAGAGCCATTATAACTACAGGCTGTGAGGCATAACGTCTCAGTCTTCAGAGGTGATAACGCATCTGTAGGCTTCTTTGTTCTTGGTTGGCTGCAGGTGTCCATGGACTCTAGAAGCCACTTCTATCAGGTGGGCGATAAATTCTTTTGTCGCTAAAGTTTTATAAAAGAAACAAATAGGAAATATCTATATACACACCACGAGGGGGAGTCCTTTCATGGGGTCTTTGCCAGTACCACGGAGCGGGCACTAATCCACCGTAGCGGCCGGCCAGCGCACTCCATTGTGAGATGAGACCTAGCCTGTAACAACAAAGAATTATGTTAACTGAAAATACATACAATACAGTCTTTACTTAACTTACTAATCAACTATTCACAGGATTAAAAAATTGATGATTTACTATTGCACAAACTAACTAATTAATTGTTTCATTACTCTCTCAGAAATGAGAGGAGGCCATTAACCGGCAGTAAGACGAATATAGGCTATGTTACTTAAGACTTTATTTTGCGCTTTATTCAGGAGCGTAACTATTTGATCCTTTACCTTGGGTTTAGGTTTCAAATAAGCAATGTGGACCTCATGCCCCCATATCCATTTACCCGTAAAAAATGTTAAAAATATAAACCTCTCCCAGAGTAGAGATTTTTTTACTATTATAAGCCGGTGCTTGTCTGCTATTTTCAACGCCTGATGGTAACCAACATGCAGAAAGCCTATTCGTTAACTTCATTGACATCATGACAGTATTCACTTTGTAGTACATTGCGTATGTTTTATGAGACGTGGGAACTCTTATACAAAAACTACAAGGCATACGACGTAATGTACTACAAAATAGGTATCATTTTGACGTGAAGAAAGTTATCGAATAGGCCTGCTGGTGAATTAGCGATCTTAATGCTAGGTGTCTCGCAACGCTGACGCTGTTTTCTACCGAATTCAAAAAGGAAGAGGTGCTCAATTCGACCGCATTTTTTTCTTTTTTTTAAGTGTATATTACCTTATAACTTTTCTCTGGGTGATTTTTTTTATTTGAAAGCTGGTGCTTCTCATGTGATACCATATACATTTGATCAAGGTCAGATTAATAGTTTTTGAGTTATTCTTAAACATACGAACTGAGACTAGTCATCTGTGCAGGACAAGATTATAATGCTCGTGCCCGAGTTTATGTACAAGCACAGGTGCGCTCTCTATTCCCTTACCATCATAGTCCGATCGGAGAGAGGGCGCAGGACCGACGGTTTACGTGTTTTCCGAGGCACAGGGGTGAAACAACGCTACTGTCATGAAGGTGAAAAGCCACTGAGAATTTTTTGACAGAAAAAAATCAATAACTGATTTTGGCCCAACCCGGGTTCTGAACCCAGGACCACACCACCATCAACCGCGTTTACGACCAACATACCACCGAGGTAGTAATTCATTTTTTTTGATAGAATAAAGGTGACAAGCGAGCACATAGTCCGCCTGATGGTAAGTGGTTGCTGTGGCCCATAAACATCTACATCTATCCTCTATTACGAATCAAAATGCAGATACGTTGTCACCCGTGAAGGCTAAGATGGGATGACTCGTTACCAGTAAAAAGGGTCTCCGGTTCTCTACACTCACCATACAAAACACAGCAGCGTTAAGCTGCTATTTCACGCTGGTATTCTGTGCTACAACTATACTATTAATATAGTTGCAGCATGGCTCTACCACGTAATAAAGTTAACACTATACTTATAACTTTAAATAGTTATATTCTACTAAGTCGTGTAATGGCGACGTAAGAAAATCCACTACCACATTTTGTCCCGTAAGTGTCGTAAGAAACGACAGTGTTAAATGCCTAATAAATCTTATGGCTTCCAATATTTAGCGGAGTTACCTTTTTATTTGCGCAAGGCGGGAAAATACTCAGACCGGCGACGGACAGCAGCTTTAAAGGTAAAAGACGCCTGGTACTGTGACTGTCGATACTGACTGCCAAGCGTTACGTATTAAGGCTCATCTTAAATCAAATCAAATCATCTATACAACCGAAAACACCTATATCCTTCAGTAGAATTTCGCGAACGATCAACTTAACATAATTCTTAAATCGTGATTGTGCGTGGTAGAGTCATGCTGCAGCTCTATTTCTGGTATAGTTGTAGCACGAATGGGTCAGCTCTACCGGGGAAGAACCACGCTCTCACAGAATACCAGCTCAACTCACCATCAGGTGTACTGTGTGTGCTCGTTTGTCACCCTTATTTTTTTTAAATTCATCCCGTGAGTATTATAAGAAGCAAGAATGTGGAATAACCTTTTCGTGAAAAAAAAACTCAGACAGCTGCTGCTGAAAAGGACTGCCAAGCGTTATGATTAAGGGTAAATCATCTATATAACCCTCTCAGAAATGAAAGGAGGCCTGTGCCCAGCAGTGGGACGTGTATATAGGCTGTAACTTTTTAACTTTTAACCAGAAAGACCTATATACTTCAGTAGAATTTCGCGAACGATCAACTTAACATAATTCTTAAATCATAATTCTAAAATACTAACTACACACGCCTTTAGAAAGTCGCGTGTTTATTTTTCTTTATTGTGAATTGTCTTTTGTGCGACATAAAGAAGCCTCCTCGTTTAACCAATATCGATATCAGTGTATAAATATCGATTGTTGGGAACAAAGAGGATTGAGGTCTTGCTTCTGGGAGCGCTTCGTCGGTAGTTACATGCCATTCCGTTATCGATATATTTTTTTAAATTTATTTAAAAAAAATATAGTTCATTTTGATTAGAAACTTTGCAAACACGTTCTATATTATATTCTTAAAATTTGTGTTGCAAGAAATTTTAATATATTATGTTAAATAATAAGTTTCTAATATAACAACATAATAATATATTCCGGTATACAACGTTTTTTCTTCTTTTTTTTTTCGAAGACAAATTTGTTCGAAAATGTTTCCAAATTGTTAAAGTAATAGCGTTCATACACCTTACATCCGGCAAAGGCCTCGCATCTCTGTAATGTTTTTTGAAGCTATCTCCAAAGGTCGCCAAAATATTTGAAATTTTCTTGAATTGCATGTTTGCGCAAGATATTTTCCCTAATCACCAAGAATTTTGTATCCTAAATCAGTTATTAAAATTTATTGATAATTCAATTTGCGTCAGCTATATGACCGTTTTGCTAAATTATAAGGAAAGTTAAAGCGAGCGTCTAACCCTTGTGCTACTCTGGCTCTTGTTAACGAATGTCTTCTTTTTCCTCTTGATCGTTCCTAAGAAAAAAATCTTAGCCGGACATGGGTCTCCTTCACAATAAAGAAGATTTTCCATATCGTCAGGCTTGGCAACCTCAGCATCAGTCATCCTGCAACTTTGCTACTGCCCATCCGTACAATTATACGGTCAACTATCGTAAGTTATAAGATTTTCTAACATTTCTTATAACCATACGACACCCACGATAGCAATGATGGGTTCTCTTAAACCGTCACCATAATGACATATTTTTTTTCTAAATTTATTTTTCAATAATCAATCAATGAAATTGTATATATACGATATTAAAACTCTACAAACATCTCTGGTCAAAATTAGACTGAATAACTTTTTTTAAATCTTTAATGTTGATAATAAGATATATTTTATTAATATGAGTATTTTTTTATTTTTTAAATAACATTTAAAGGTTTTAAATCGTATTTATTTTTCCAAAACCATAAACGCTACGACATAGCTGCTACAGCTACGTTTCTCTTATTCAGATGTAGTTTCGTAGCTTCGTAGACATTCCGTAGATGTTTCGTAGCAAAATGTAGAGTAAACGTAGGCGAGTAAAAATTTGGCAATAATGAAACTTATTGTAAGCTACCATTATAATTGTATATTTTGAGTAATCAATTTATTTTAATTCATCGGCTACCGTCAGTGATAAGAAATCATAACGTCTAATAAGGGAGGCCTATACCCACTGTGATCTATGTCGCTGTAGGCGAGTAAGTTGGCAATGTGTAACAGAGATCGGAACAAAAATTAATAATTTTAATCTACAGGTAGCCGTGGTTACCTATGACATTGGGACATCGAACATCTCAACATTCGAACACTTTACAGTATCCATGGTCACGTGCTCGAAACGTCGGGAATATAAAATAAGTTAATATACGCGATAAAATCCGTAAAAACTAGTTTTATTTACATGTGTAAGAAGTTCAGTGATATAATATATGTATTACCGAAAATAGCAAAACACTACGATAATTCTAATTTTCAGATTTTAATGCCTTATCATGCAAAGTACAATATAAATTTCAATGTGTATTTCCGTTCTTTTACATGTAATTTGTTATTGTGTGAGTTTTGTTACGTCTTACGTATTCTGCCACATTCACAATTATTATGATACATCTTTTTTACGTTTTAAAAATTATAAAATAATTTTCGCATGTTCCCATCACTAGAAATCGTTTCGCGCTCTATTTTGTATCGATATTGTAAATAACAATAACGATTGTCACCTTTATCGGTAATATTTTATCTGCAATAGCTCACAGAGCCGTTAAAGCTACTAATGGAAAATTGTGGAGGGTACAGATACGAGGAATATAGTTTTTAATATACTCTATCTCTACAAATAAATAAAATTGAAGTGTTTGCTTGTAATGTCATATACGATACTTATAACAAAAAACAATTTTTTAATTATTTTTGTCTGTCTATTGGTCTGTCTGTCTGCTTGTTCCGGCTTATCCTCGAAATGGCTGGACCGATTTTGAGGGGACTTTCACTAGCAGTTATCTGATATTATAAGGAAGTAACTTAAGATACTTTTATTCAGAAAAACAATTAGGGTCCCGCGTAAAAAAAATGAAAACCCAAGAAATCCAACAGTAATAAAATTCACGCGTACGAAGTCGCGAAGATCAGCTAGTTTGATATAATAATGAATGAGAAAAGTGACAAAGAAAATTTATGTTGCAGAAGTGAGTGGCAGAGTCGGCAAGGGAAGCCCTAGATGGAAGTTTGTCGACCAAATTGGCGATATATTGAATTTGGGCCAAATTACGAGTATCCGGTACCGGTACGAAAGAAACAGAAACTCTTTTATTCAATACAGATTATAAATAATAGTTATTGAAAGTTACCCTTTTGTTTAATTACTGGTTCGAAAAACAACCTCTGTCCTAGGAAAAACCAGCAAGTAACCCAGTGAGACTTTTTTTTAAATAACAGCTTAGAATCATGTAATCACAATTAACCATACAAAATAAATTAGAAATAGCTTGGTAACGATCACCTCATTCCCAGGGGT